TTTGGTGTGACGGGGATTCGAACCCGCGACCCGTAGATTGCGAGTCGAGCGCCCTAACCACCTGGCCATGTCGGGCCGTGTAGCTTTGCATTATGAAAATAGCAACAACAACAACGACATCTAATCAATATGTAATTCTGTGAAATGCAGATATCATAAACTAAACTGATATATTACAAAGTATGTAAATATATGTTTGTTCACAGAATTTTTGAAAATGTGAGTGCAAGGTTTCTGTACTAACAAATAATAGATGAATAGGTTATGTCCAACTTAGAAACTTGCGCTTTGGGTTTGAAAATTTACCCATTGGGTCTAGTCTGTTTTAAAATATCACAGACTGAGTTATTAAGAACAAATTTTGGTGCCTTGACTAAGGATTTTTTAAAGGAATTTAAATTTGACGTGATTTTCTGTGCTCCTCGTGCTCTCATAAATCATAATTTTGAAATTTATTGAAATAGAAAATTGTTTACAAGATAATAAAGGGCTTATTATGAAGAGGAATAAATGGTTTCTGAAGTGCGATCTTGGTCAAAAGAGCTGCAACAAGCTTCTAGAAGTCCTCTTTTGGATATGATGCTCTGACTTCGGACCTGAAGACTCACGCAAACATTTTCTATGTGGTTACTAAGTAAGGGGTTGAGTTAAAACCCACGAACTCCCAAATTCTCTTATCTGACTTCATTTCCAGTACGCAGGAGAATTAACAACCGTTAGTCACTATGATGATCTAAGACCTAGTTGTTCTGTAGCTTCAGTGTTTCTGAACTTTATCATTAGTTAGAGTCATCAGAAACAAGACGGAAAGTATAAGATGATAAAAACCCTATAACCCGAGCCCTTTCGAAAGGTGGACCTTTCTTCTTCAGGAGCAAACTGGGAACAATGGTGTAATCGAATGAGTGATATATAAAGGGAGTTGAGTGACGTCATGAAGGTCATCCGGTTTTTCAGGAAATGTTTAATATATTTTTCCATGTACTGTTGTAAGTTTCTCATTTTCTGTACAATGTAGCCAGCGGGATATTTTGCTTTAGAATTGGTTACATATATATATATACCCATTGCAGTGCCGTTAACCTGAAGAACCCACCAGAATCTCAAACAGTAACTAATCTTACCAGCCTGATTTTAACTCTGAACAACTTCAAATTCAATAACGAACATTACATTCAGGTTAACGGTACTGCAATGGGTACTAAAATGGCTCCCAATTATGCCAACATTTTTTACGAGTCATATTTAAAACCAACTTTTACAACTAAGCTCTGTAAAACCTCATGCATGGAAACGTTACATAGACGACATATTTTTCATTTGGACAGCCAGTCTTAAATCACTTAAAGAATTTATCTCACATGCAAACTCCTTTCACAAAACAATCAAGTTTACCTTTGATTACTCGCCTACCTAAATTAACTTTCTTGACGTCACTGTATTTTTAAAGGACGGAATTTTACATATCGACTTGTACAAAAACCTACAGACAGACCACAATACATTCACTAGAAAAGCTGCCACCTCACCCACACTAAACGAAACATTACATACAGTCAAGCTCTTAGGATAAAGAAAATATGCTCAGATGAAACAGACTTCAGAAAACACACCAAGGATCTAAAACAAACCATGTTATAAAGAGGATATAAAGATACCGAAATCGATAGACAGGTCGAAAAAGCTAATAACACTCAGCGGACAAACATCCTGAGACAGAGCAATACTAAAGTTTTAAACATAATTCTTCTTAACTATCACTTTAAACTCAGAAACGTTTCACAAATTCTGAAAAAAAAACAAAAACATTTCGTCTCCTGCAACTGAACGATCGCCTAAATCAGATATTTTCTAAAGTTCCCGTTGTCTCCTTCCGAAAAAGCAGAACTCTAAAAGATATCCTTGTTCACACAAAAGTGAATTACATCTCACCAAAAAATGGTTGTCATCCATGCAATAAAGCTCGTTGTTAAACATGCAAGTTCATAAAAACTACTGACTCATTTTCTGACAAGCACAACCAAAGAAACTTTAAAATATTAAAAGAAATCACTTGTGAAACATAAAACACCATTTATCTTGTACAATGTAAAAAATGCAATCACCAATTTGTAGGACATACACAAACAACTCTTAGAGAACGTTTCAAAAACCATAAAGTCACTTATAGCTTAATTGCGTTTGACTCTTAGGTTAGATTTTGATATTGGAAGAACATTGAATTTTCAGCTAACATTAACTAGGTTTTGATAACATTAATTTTTAGCTCTGGAAGAAACTTTTAAACACTCACCATCCCCAAGATCCGAGTTTTCAGCTTGCTGCTCCAAAGTTTCCACGCTCTGTTCTAGGTCCTCAATGGACTTTTCTAAGAAATCCCTGAACAAAGAGAACCTATTAACAGCTGTGTGCAAAGAAAGCACTCGACTGTAGCTCTATCTATTTATTCAACTGTAAAGTCATGGAAGTAACATTTACCGTTACTTTCAAATTTAGAAAAGTTGATTATCGCTACATTCAACGCCGAAAAATCTAGTGGTATTTAATCCACAGCTTTGGTCGTCTTTCTTGTAAAATTGAAAACATTTGCTATATCATTGTGAGAAGTCTTATCATTCGTAATAAATTTATAGAAACATTACTGATATAAAAACCGGTTTAAAAAGATTAAAGAACGATCCATATTTTTGATACAGTGTGATAATATTCAAATTCAACTATTTATTATTGCATTTATCTTTATTAAAAAACTTCAGTAACATGTATGAATATTATGGTTTCAATTTTAGGTTCTTATAATTTGTGATTAATTATATATCATTAAAGTAATTTTAGTTGTTGTTCTTTTGTAAATACGTCCCTCAGTGGGTTAGCGGTAAATTTATGGACTTACAACGCTAAAATTTGTGGTTGATACCTCGTGATGGACAGAGCACAAATAGCCCATTGTGTAGCTTTGCGCTAAAAACAACAGCTTATAAACACTTGGTATATGACGCAAAGGTATTAAAACTTCACGGTCATAGATCAAAAGCTTAATTCAGATTCGAAGTTATTTCGAAGAATGTTTACCAGTTTTTCTCCAACGTAGTGATATTTTAGTGCACACTGGTGTACTCTAAGTAATATCTCATTTAGGATGAAACTCCAGTTACTTGTATCAAACAAGAATGCATGCAAACAAAATGCTTAGCCTATTTCTGAAACGTATAAAACAGGCATTCAAAGAAGTAAATATTCTCACTTCATCTTCTGTTCATTCTCGATTTCAGCCAGAAGCTGTTGTTCAGCAGTGTCATCGTCGTTGATAGTTGGTGTCTTTCTCGGCATGGCGTCTGATGATACTTAAATTCTCCCTAACTATTTTATATAAACATACAACAACTTCTGTCACCATAGTAACTACAGTAGGTACTATGGCTGTTTATGACGTCACTTAGTATGGGCTCAACCATTTCGCTAGCGTTAAAAACATTAGCACAGCCACGGGCTTGAGAATAACGCACAGTCTAACCAAAATAAACTCTATCGGCAGTATAAACTACAGAACAAAGTGAATGGTAATTCTAAATTAGGGTTAAAACATAGATTGTTAATTTAACTTCAGGTTTCGGTTGTGCCGGTCATTAATTGTGATGCTATTACATGGTGAAAATAACGGAGTAGAAAATAACATTTCTTCCAAGAATTGAACTCTCGCTGGAGGCTCAGCGGTAATAACACCATAATTCGGGCTTAGATCCCTGCGGTGGGCACAGCACAGATATCCCAATGTACAGCCTTGTGCTTAAAAACAAATAAACAAAATCTAACTCTATACAAACTGATATTGTAGCAGAACAGAAAACAAATAAATGAAAATAACATAAACTGTTCAAACAGAAATCTCGAGATCGAAAATATCAAAACAACGAAGTTTAAGCGTGACTCAGTTCTTCAACTGGTACACAGTTTTTAGAATAGCAAAGTGTCTAGCACTGGTTTTCTGCAAGAAAAATTGACTTTGATTTCTGATTCGAAAATATTGCCAAAGCGTGCAACAATTATATTAGATAAGAATATTGTGGTTTGACAAATACGCTTCCATGCAAACCAATCATTTAGTCATATCACAGCTGAAAAAAAATTAATTAATCACATTAGATTTAGTCACAGTGTGCTATTTACTTTATCAGATAACAAGCTTTTTTTTTTCTTGCACAAGATATAAAGTTGATTAATAATGAATTTAAACTTGTTTATTTTCAACGTCAGATGTTTAATAAACATTGGTAATAAGAATGACATGAAGCAAGGATCTTTAATAAGTGTTAGTCTTTCTCTGTCGTTCAATTCTTGTTTTATTTATATATATATTTTTTTATAATTACGATGTGTTTTAAGTTTTCGTAGTATCCACCTATGTATTTGGTTGGGTTTGTCTGGAACTTCGCGCAAAGCTACGCGAGAGAGATATCTGCGCTAGCAGGCCCTAATTTAGCAGTGATTGACAAGAGGGAAGCTAGACATCACCACCCACCGCCAACTCTTGGGCTACTATTTTACCAACGAATAGCGAGATTGACCGTAACATTATAACGCCCCCACATGTTCGGTGACGGGGATTCGAACCCGCGACCCCAAGATTACGAGTCAAGCGCCTTAACCACCAGGCCTTCTAGAGGTAATGAGAGGTGAATGAGTGTCTTGCTTTGAACGCCTCTATTTTTTTTTTTTGGCAGATATAGGCCACAAATAACTGACCCTTAGATTCAGAGTCCAGACCCCAAGAAAATGCACAACTATTAAAGTTTAATAATTTATTTCAATAATCACAAACTTTACAATATACACAGTACAAAAACTGTCAGTAACTACACGAAACTAGTAGTATTTAGGTCTAAAATATAGTAGTAGAATAAATAGACACAATCTGAAATCACCAAACAACCTCTTAATAAAGTCGTATTGCTTTTCACCTTTGTTTCCAAAATATGCATAGACATTATTATAAACGTTTGCCATAAATGTACAACTTTTCATAAGTGGCACACGAGGTCCTAATGATAAACTCTCTCTTCTTTTCCTAAGTCTTAACATAAAATATCCTACACACAACTTCTAGTATATTGCTTTCATTAACATTTGTCAGAAATGTTTATATTCTAAAATGTTACATTATGTTTGTAACTTAATTTCACTAAAACTTTTGTTAATTTTTAGATGTTCAATGCCTTTTTTTTCTCTCGTCCTTACCGAATGCGTGGTGCTTAAAATCATATTAAGTTGAAAATAATACGTTAAGAAATAAATTAAAATGTTATTATATATGTATTCAAACCTCTATCTGCTAAAACAATCACAATAAGAAATAAATTTGCTAAGAAGAGATCACAAATAATTGTCAATGGTCTTGATTTTTGTAGAAATTAAATCATTTTTCTCACTATTCAGTAAAGTGTATATTTACTGGTGTACTCATAGCTTGTTTCATAGAAATTACGATACTGTCTTAAGTTAAAAAACTGGCTATTTTAGTAAGACAAGATGTACTTCAAGATTTTCCGATATATTTTCCACCCAAAGAGCAGTTCTAAAATTTATTGATTCAATATTGACATGACAGACAAACAAATTTATTATCTGAATTACAAAACTGTCAAAAAAAGTAATTATTATTTTTCAAACAAATAAAAAGTCTGAAGGTTAAGAAACCTACATTCAATAACAAGAAATATTTGAAACAGCTATACTGCAAGCGTTTAGGCTTAAAATAGATTAAGTATATTAGGAAGCTGAATTTAATTAGAAATCTGCACCCTAGTTAAGACCATATACATCGTGAAACTTATCTTGTTTACAACATTAAAATGTTTGTTCCATAATCCTCTTGCATGTGTTAGAACCTGGGATTTTTATGCATGAAAGAGAATTATAAGAAGAAAGAAATACATGAACTGAAAAATCCAAACTAATATAAATATTATCTGTTACAACTCCGATTTAACTTTTTACACGTTCAGTAAAAAAAAAAAGTTTCGTAATTTCACTTAATAATAATCATAATCTTATAGTGGAATTTTTTAATATTTCAAAATTTATTGACGAATTTATTCAACATGAAATATATACCGTATTTTTTGGTGTATAAGACGCACTTTTTTACCCAAAATTTGATGTCAAAATCTGCTTGCGTCCTATACACCGAAGGTATGAATAATATATATGTATATATATATACGATATACACAAGCCATGTGTAAATATATTTAAATAGGCATGCATAGTTTAGTTCAATTGAATGTGCTAAAGTATAAGTTTCAATCAGACATTTTTACCAACTGACGTTTTCATTTTACAGCAGACAATCAATTTAGATCGAAATTACAAAAACAAAACATTATATGAAGCGTTAAACTTAAAGTAAAAATTACCGGGGAAAATGGAAGGGGAAAAATAACTAAAACTACGCAGAATTTTACACACTGTGTTTGGAACGACCATTGATTTGTACGTTTTTGTCAGGTTCAATTCCCAAGAGATCTCAATCTTCCATTTGGTGAACCCACTATGAACATAACGATATATTCATATGTTCTTGTTAATCTTCATGCAAATAAATGCAGCTTATTCTGGGAGTCCTTTAAATCCCCTGGATCCTCAGTTAGTGTTATACAATATGAAAATCTCGAAACTACAGAGAAAAATGTATATTTGGAACGATTCCTTACATGTCCATGCCAATGCTAACGTAAACTCAAAAATTCAGTTCTGAGTGCCTCCAAATGCGGGGCTCAAATTTGAAATCCTCAAAATCTGGATTATTGTTCTAAAAGTCTTACTTCTTACTAGCAGTTTTTAGGACATCGGTGTAGTAATACCCGAGAGCTCTCCGAATTCTCTAATCCTCATTTTCAGGGCCCACTCATTACCCTTCTGAATTTTTTCTTCGTTTTCATTATCTCAACGTTTAAAGTCTTCATGTAAGATTTCAAGTCGTGTTTTGAAATACACGACTTATGGGAAAAGTTCAAAAAATCAAGTAAGCATAGATAGGTACTATAGGCTAGAGAATTACTACACAGATAGTGTGATTACAAATTTCACATTCTAAAATGTTTGGTTTAATAAAGTATGACAATTATTTATCAGTAGGTCAGCAGTTACCTAGTTACAACCTCCTACTGTCGATAAACAATTATTCCTTTACAACACTCATATGATAGTGTGTTTATGTGCTTGAATCAGGGTCAGCGCCATGGGAGGGGGCCTTAGCCGTCCAGTTTAGATTCTTTAAGTATCATGTTCTAAATAAACGTAAAAAATATGCAATAAATACAGGTCAAAAACTAAAATAAAATACAATTAAATCTAAACATAATAATGTATAGTGAAGTGTAATAGTAGTGAGTACGAGTTAATTTATTTCGGTTACATTTTTCCAAAGCCTGCCCCCTCCCCTTAATAAATGAGTGCCCCCCATAGCGTGCATGCTACCGCCGGGACTAACTTGAATAGCAGATACGTATAAAACAAACAGGTATTTTTTTTTTTTACTTTAAGAAAAAAACGTATGAAATTACGAGAACTTACCTTTGGGTATAACGGTCTCGCAGGGTATGCTATAGGCTATTAAACTAACTACACAAAGTATTACCCATGTCATTGCGATAAGTTTAGTGTACGAAGTCAGCCGTAGTTTGTCTGTTAATGACACAAAATGCTAGTAATATACATAGCTAGAATCAAACACATCCGGTGAGTAGACATCAATGATCACATGACTCAGAAAGTGAGTTAGGGGAAATCTCAGACGCATGATTCACAGTAAAGTTGGTTAAAGAATCGTACTTGTACCTGAAGCGGCTCTAATGTTGTAATACTTGAACACCACAAGGTCCTTCAGCAGGGGCTTCATGAAACCGTAAACACTGACACAAGAGTGACACGAAACACACAAACTCTTGGAATATATACCGTATTTTTCAGAATATAAGACGCACCCTTATTTTGAAGACAAAGTTTTTTGGGGAAAAAGCTACAGTCGCATTTGAAAGATTTTTATTGAACAAAAATTCAATTTGATACTTTAAAAATTAGTATATATTGTTCTAAACACAAAAGAGCTAAAAACATCGACATAAGAAAATACCGTAAATCAAAAATGGTTTACTGTTATTTAGTTTGGTTCAAAACCTACAAAATCTTCATTGCTTTCACTGTAATTTATTTTTTTATTATTTAGGGAGCATTATAAATAGTTATGTTTTTAAAAGAAAAAACTACTATTGTTATAAAGAATATTAGTAACAATGATATGTAACAATGTTTAATAATTACTTACACTTCTTAATATTTAAATGTTTCTTATTGTAAGGTATATATCATT